AAAAACAATAATATGACGAATTTTATATCTATGTTTACATTACGTCACAAATATTTTTCTTACTTTGAATGCAAAACATTTCAAATGTTGTGAAAAGAGAAAAAAAAATCTTCTGTTTGTTTTAGAAAAATATAGCGCTGCATTGATTATCATCTCCGTCCATCCTGCACGCCTTGGTTCATAAATATAAATAAACTTCACATTTTATTACCAAACATTCATTGGTACACACACATTTGCACGCACACACACACCACACACACACACACCACACACACACACACACACACATACACACACACACACATACTGAATTGTACATAATAAACGAGCTTACCAACTGTAGCGGAATATTTATTGACTCAGTAAGCCATCAACATTGCTTAGATTTTAATCGCTTGGCCAGTTTATTATTCACACAATTTATAAATCACAGACATTTAAACTTGATTCGTCGGTTAAACATCTAAGTATATAAACAATTTATAAACATACAATTGCAGCCAGATTTTAAAATACAATACACGTTATACACACACGTACATATACACATAAACGAACATACAAAGAACACTCATTTAAATAAAAACACTCACAAAAAATATACGAACAAACAAACGAATATATACAAACGATAATAAACAGACATACAAACAAATATAAAAACGAATTTAAAGAAACAAATATAGAAACTGACATGAAGAGGAATATTTACGAACGTACAACGTGGATGTTTGCCTGCATGCGTACCATGCACAATTCATATTTGCCTGCATACGTACCATGCACAATTCATGTTTGCCTATCTTTCTGCAGGCCGAAATGTCGATAAATGCTGAACACGCATTCGTGTTTAAGAACCAATCCGATCGACCAGGCAACCAGCCAATTAATTAAAAAACCAACCAACCAACCAGCCAACTGACCAGCCGACCGATCAGTTAACCAGCCAACCAAATGCAACAAAACTATGAAATGGACAACAACAAAAACGTGAACAACAAACAACCCTAGCCACCCAACCAAACATATAATCGTGACAATTGCCTACCAATTACGTGCTTATTTTCCAGCACTTCAATTTCTCTCCAACCAAGTAGCTACTCCTCCATTCCTTTTAGAGACATAAAAATAGTCATTCTTTCTTTTTTCTCTTTGCCTTTTTTTCCTCACAAACTCACCTACGGTGTATATTTATCAAAAGTGTTTTTTTGCATTTGGAAAGAAAAAATTAAACAAATTAATGCGAATAAAAGAAAAATATATTAACACAATATTAAGAACAAGTTAATTTTAATTAATTGCCACCAACATATCAATCAATCAATCAATCAATCAATCAATCAATCAATCAATCAATCAATCAATCAATCAATCAATAACAATCTTCCGAGGGCTAGAGGAAGAGGATGATATAATGATGAATTGATTATTATCGGAAAAGATAGTTTAAATTGAATATCAATTGATCAAGTTGGTAGAATTTGTCGAAGTACTTGGGGCTTTCCTTACAATCCATGTGCAATGTCCGCACAACAGCTCATATATTTAGAATTTACGATAAACATTTTGAAACATTTTATTGCAAAGTATGTAATGAAACTTGTGCATAAAAAACACTGAATAACAATCAGCTAGACAAAATAAATTTTTATGGTACCAATAAAATCAGTTACATTTCCTAATATTTTTGGCAAACGCATCCTAACCATGTAATCAAGAGAATAAAACATAATTTCTCATTTTCTTAACTCAATATTTAAACAAATAGCTTGTTGATAAATGCTCAAAACAGGCCAGCAAGCCACACAAAATAACGACACAACAAATATAATGTAGTATGATTGACAAGAATGAAAATTGTATCTATTCACTATCATAAATTTGATTTATCACAGATATTTAATTTGAATTAGAGTTCCTCTTTTCGATCAATCTTTAGTAGCTCCACCTCAAATATCAAAGTTGCGCCACCTGTGGAATGAAATCAAGTTGAAATATAAGCATGGAAGAGTTATTAGAACGAGTAAAGTAGGCCATAAAATTAATTATTACCTGGAATTTTGGGTGGTGAACCGCGATCGCCATAACCTAATTCAGATGGAATGATCAATTTTCTTTTCTCTGTTTCACACATACTGAAAAAATTGAAATATAGCATATTTTTATAAATTAAAAATTACACCATTGAAATAAATGGTTCAACCAGATGACTAAGCGAATCAGAATTACTAACTAACCCAAGAAGGCCCTGATCCCAGCCCTTTATCACTTGGCCAGTCCCCAATGTGAATGTGAATGGTTCTTTTCGAGGAATGCTGCTATCAAACTCTGTACCATCTTCCAAGGTTCCCTGGTAGTTAAAATAATATTAATCAGTATGTTTTCGTTAGCAGTGCAAGCAACAATAATGATTTTACAAAGGTTGCAAACAGATAGATGATAGATATGATAAAACTACTATCTAAAAAGCAGAAGCCCCAAAACACTTGAACATTTTTATTTGCACTCATGATTCAATTGTTAGTGTTAGCTGGTCACTAAATTTTAGTGATCTCATACCATCATATATATAGTATAGAGATAGACAGACCAATAATAAAGTTTTTTAATAAAGTTTTTTAATAAAGTAGTTTAATAAAGTCGTTTTTTAATAATAAAATAGTTCAAAACAGAACTACTTTTTTATAATATAATTTATTAAAAATTAATTAAAGTAAAAAACAAATGATTGCAATCAATTAAGAAGAGAATGCCAACTAAATATTATGAAACACATTGATCTAAATAAGAAGTAGGAACCGTGTAATGCATATGAAGCACATCTCCTTTCCTCGATTTCATGGTACAACTTTCTGGACTGGCCCTACGCTTGACGCCGATTTGCAAACCCTTTCTTGATTCGCTTGCCGTGACAATCAAAATAAAGGCGACCAAGAACGTGACGGCGAGATAAGTGTAACTAATCTTCATCTTGAAATCTCCGATCCTCAAAACCGCAACCTTTAATTTAAACGTTTAAAAAGACGAATCGATGAATGAAAATGAAAGGAAGTTGTCGTGTTAAACGTTGAGTGGATTTTTGGTATGGAAGGTCGCTGTTTTTTTTATTATTCTTTAAAAATCATGGTCTGACAGACGCAGAAACTGTAAATTGTAAATTTTGCAAATTTATCTGATTATTACTATTAATAACGTAATGGAACAATTTTATACAAATAACTTTATATTTTTCTTATTTAAAAAATTAATAAAAATCAGAAAGAAGTGATTTTTTCCAATAAGTTGAAACTAGGAGCCACACCTTAACCATTATATTAAACTTGTATTTTTTCCTCGTAAAATCTTATTCGTTGTTTGATGTTTAATTTCAAAAAATAGGCATTAAAAATAATTATCAAAACTATTTGACTCAAAAATCTCATTTTTATTGCTGTAAAATTTGCTTTGTTTGATCTTCATAGTGTCTGTGTTGTGAACGCCCTTTTTCATTGATTGATTAGGTTAGGACGAATATTGTCGGCAAGTTGTGTCATTGCATTGTTATGAAGCGTTAACATTTTCCTAAAAACTAATTAAAAGCAAAAACAGACGATTATTTGACTCTAAAATCGACTAAACTTGTAGATTGCCACGTCCTGATCTTTGCCAATTAGACAGCCGGCCACGAGTTCGTTTTGTTTGGTTGGTTAGTTTATTAAATTAGCAATTCATTTGTAAAGTTTTAAATTTTTTATCATTTTACAAATCACTATATTAACCTGTACTATATATGGGTTAACATTAATATTCATGTCTAAGTCTAATAATTTATATTTTTATAACAAATATTGTAAAAATAATAAAATGTATTTTTTGCATATCCAATTTAAATTTTTTTTAATGTTTTAATAATGTTTTCATCATTTCAGATTATAAGTTTTTCCCATTTTCCATGTATATACTCATAAAAGAATTTATTTGGTTTTATATCTACAAATCAAAAGTTTTTTACTATTTTGACATTGATTTTTCTTTGCTATATTATATATATTATAATCATTTAATGGCTTGATGAGCAAATGTCTGCATCCATATGTGTATGTATGTGTGTATCTATGTGTATGTGTGCGTGTATGTATGCGTGTGTGTGTGTGTGTGTGGCTATTATCAAGTGGCTGATGATATGTAAATAATAGAATTGTGATAGAATGAAGACCAAAGAATAAATATTTAATGGCAGACTAAAGTAAATAACAAAAATTCTATTATGGAATTAGTTTATATTTGTTGGGTTGATAGTATGATATTATTTGTTAATATAAGAATTTGATCATAATATTTTTTTTAAATGATCAGATAATGATAGTAATTTTAGTAACATAAACATTTTAGTACAGCAAAAATTCAAAGGATAAGCCAGCCAGTTGCCAAAAATACATCAGCTCTGTTGATGAAAAGTATGATAAAGTTATAGTTCAGGCCAAATTGAGATGCCATATTATGCTGTATGTGCTCTGTATGAAATTTAACACCTTTTGACCATTTATTTATTTTACTACATTCATTTATCATTTAATTCATTCATTTATTTGTTTGTTCATTTATTTGTTCATTCAGTCTGTTTTTTAGCATTTTAACTTATTTTAATTTTATTATAATTAGTATGTTATATGATCTTTTATAATTGTAAAGGAATTTTTTCGACTTGAATTTTAATTTAGTGGTTTGTTTGAAATGGTGATCTTTGAATTTTGTGACTTGACAAACTTGTGTACTTTTGTACTGGTGTATGTATGTGAACTGTTTTGGTTTGTAACTGCTAGCTAATTAATTACACACATAATGAGGATGAAAGAGAGCCCAGCTTGTCATCATTTAATAATTTATAACTGCAAAAAAATTCTGCCCTTACATTTTCAAAATGTAACTCAATCTCATTGTGAGAAAATTTTTTTCTATCCAAATTACAAAAAAAAAATAAAACAACAATAATAATAATAACAACGACAACAATAATAATAATAACGAAAATAAATATAATTATAACCATAATGATAATGACAATAGTAAATGTTGCATTAGTAATTATAAGTCTCAGTCAGTTTGATCCAGTTCAATATATACCCCATCTTGACTTACTCTAACAACAACAATATTGATAATTATAATAATCTTGTAAATACAAATAAATCATTGTTTTCATATATAAATATTTAATTCATTTCAATAATTTAATTTTTATTTAAATATGTTGATTTTAAATTAATAGCAATAAAATAATTATTATCATTTTATTTAACATTTTGGTAATTTAATTAATAAACAAATAATAAATTACAATTTTATTATTATTTGAAAAATGGAGAAATTAAAATAAAACAATACTATAGGTATAAATAGATAGATAGATATAGATGGAATGTATCTAATGGTGTCTTATATTTATAGCTAACTATGTATATATATACTCTATTTCTTTCTTTCTTTCTTTGACGGTTTCTCTCATGGTTTGATTTTATTTGTTAGTAAAAGTTACTCACAATTGCATTAAAGTAACATGACGATTGTAATTTTGATGTTGTAATTTTAATATTTAATAGCAATGTGATTTCGATTTGATTGTATGTATAAGTGTGTGTGTTTTTGTGAAACTAAATTGATGTTATTTCATTGTTGTTTTCCTGTTAGAGTAGATTAATTTAAATAAAATAAAATTTAAAGTAAATAAATAAACAAATAAATAAATAAATTGAAAATTGTTGAATTTTGATTATCAAATTATAGCCTGTAACATGTTTATTGCTTGATTGATAGGTAAAGATAGTCTGCTAATGCTAATTATTGTTTTTCTGTCATTATACACAAGGATTTTATATAAATAAACACTATTTTTATGTTTATTTTTATATATTTGACTGCATATGGTATATGCACATATGATTTACGTAAAAAATTGTAATTAATGTGTATTTATAATAAAATTAAAGCATTATATTTTAGTTTTGAATTTATTTAAATTAATTTAAATTAATGTATTATTTTATACTTTTAGTATGTTTATGCTTTATCTTATTCAAGTTGGGGTTTTTGGATTTTTTAAAAATTTGTTATAATAATAACAAATAAATAATAAAATATATAATAGAAAATGGATAATAATATTGATAATACTTATCTTTATGATAATATGTATCATTGTTTAATTATCACCCCAACTTCAATGGTTAGGTGAAGTGATTATTATTATTATTATTATTATTATAAATTTATATAAATTAAATAATAATAATAAATAAATAAATAAAAAATATTTATAAATATTAGATAAATATTATATATATATATATATATATATATATATAAAGTTCTCATAAGCGCTATCAGTAAGTTCACAAACAAAGACAAAAATAACTGAGATAGACATGGGAAAAAAAGAAAATGACACTGAAAATATGTCTTTACAATATTCCTAAAAGTGTTAATAGTTAATCACATTGAAAATAAATATGTCTTCAAGTTCTTTCTGAAAATGTCAATGATCAATCCCGGCATTCGCAATGATCCAGGAAGTGCATTCCAGACCCTTGGACCAAACACACCAATGTTTCTTGCCCCTGTACATAACAGAGCATTATTAACCATCATCAGATTTGAACAATCACTTCTCAGGTTGATGCTTTCTGAAACCGCAGATCTCTTTTGAAGTTCATCCAACAAATATACAGGCAATTGATTGCATGCTCCTAAAATGTTCCTGCTCCTTTTTATTTTTTATGGGTTTTTTAATTAAAGGTTTAAATACTGCGATTGAATAAAAAAAGCAATGGATTGGTTATAAAATTTAATCATATATATATATATATATATATATATATATATATATATATATATATATATATATGTATGTATATATATATGTATATATATATTTATATATATATAAATCTTCATTCAATCTTCAATATATTCAATATATATATATTTAAAATATAAAAAAGTAATTTGTTTAATTATATAAAGAACATTACGGCTTTTGAAGGTTACATAAATACATACATACATTATCATTGCCTTGCATAGTTTTTTCTCAGTGAATGATTTTAAAACTATTTTGATTCTATGGCATTAGGCAAAATAATCAACATGCGTCCGTATGTGTGTGTGTGTGTGTGTGTGTGTGTGTGTGCGTGCATGCGTATGTATGCGTGCGTATGTTTGTATTTTGTTTGCTTGAGATGAGGGCGAACTTTATCCTTTCAGGCTTTCAATATCAACTGGCAGTAGGGGCCTTCCATCTACAGAAGAAGAAAAAGACCTCGGAATCGCTATTCATAAAAGCACGAAAACATTGAGACAATGTACTTTGGCAGCAGCCAAAGCAAATCAAATACTTGGATGTTTAGAAGAACGGTGGTGAGCAGAGAGTAGTCGATCATTATAAGCTTATATAAAACATAAAGTTCGCCCTCATCTCAAGTACTGTTACTGTTCACAGAGTTGGAGTCTAGATCTGCAAAAGGACAAAGACATTCTTGAACGGGTACAGCATAGAGCAACGAAGATAAAGAAGAACCAAATGCAGAAATAAATCATCACTTATCTACAATTTCAGTTTATGAGTACGATGGGGTGGAAATGTTAACATGTGCATGCCTTTGCTACATGCTAAATTTATAGCACTAAGAGATTTATGGCTGTTGTGTCCACCTGATAAAATAATAGTAAGATTTTCTTTGGAAGCGTTTGTGCATTTTGAAAAATGTTCCAACCATTTAGTAAATAGTGCTGAATCAGTCCATCCATTTGGACTAGTGTGTCCAACAGATTCTTGGGGTGCTCCTCTAAGTATCATCAGTCACTCTTTTGCGAGGATATATGAACATGGGTGGCAGAAAATTACCAGCAGCATTGAATGTACGTATAACTGTCACTGTTGAGCCTTTTTCTCCACTAATGATTTTGCCTTCAGCTCTTTTACCTTTTTTTTAGCAACAATTTTACTTGGGATATGCACATTTGTTACACCTGTTTCATCTATATTCCATATGTGTGAAGGAGTACAAGGAATGTCAATGAGCAGTTGTTTATAAACTTCAACAAACTGCATCACCTTTGGTTTGTTAAACGCTATTGCACGTGACAAATTGGTTCCTTCTGGTTTTCTTATTGATAGATCTGTGTGAGAAAACCTGAAAGCCAATCTTTTCCAGCAGATTTTTTGTCTTTATTGAATGGGTGATCAATATTCATGGTTTCAGCTAGCTTAACAGCTAAACGACATACATCATAATGAGTGAGTCCATAAAGACTTCTTTCCATATATTGTATATGGTTATGAAGTTCAAGTTCAATTGAATCGGAAAGAACTGGAATGTGACATCCCACTTTTAGAGTTCCAGGATTGAGTGCTGACGTAATGTTCGCGCTGGAATACCAAGTTCTTGGCTTACACGAATCAGAGATTTCCCATTTGCAATAGCTTACAAACCGGTTGCAAGCAACTTGTCTCCATGTTTCCATTTTCTCCATATAACAAATATTCGCTTATATTTGCGAACCATGACACCAGATTAGTTTGATATTTGAGAAGCTTGAACAGTTGAAGTTTAACTGTTTAACTGTATAAAAAATATCTTTATTAAAAACAAAACAACTATAATCTAGCGTCATTATGTAATAAATTTTCTATAGTTATATAAATTTATTTAAAAGGCGTTTTGCCTCATACAGTAATGGGCGTTTTACCCCAATGGACTAATATAAGATATTTAATAATGCCGTCCAACTAATTTCAAATTATTATGAAGATCGTACTATTTATATTCGCTATAATTTATTGCCCTATTTATAGTCAATTTACAGTAAACCCGAGAAAATCCATTAAAACTCACCTTGATTCTGCAAAAACAATTAAATATCAAAATTAACAAAGTTCTGTATGTTGTCTATCAATCTGAAAAGATAATCTAGCGCTAAATTATGTCAATATTATTTTAAGGGGGTAGGCGTTTTGCTTCGACCGGGCGTTTTTCCCTGTTCTACCCTACTGTTTTGCATGCTGATGTGCAATTTTTAAATGCCATATTTTAATTGGTTTTCTATTAAAATCGTATTAATTATGTATTAAATAATTCATTTAAATACTCTTTTATATATTATCAATGTTATTTTTTCTAGGAACCTGCTGAAAAAAACAACAACCAGTGTATGTCTGTGTGCATGAATTGTTTAATAGCAGTTAGTCCAACCATAAACTAGGGTTATTTAGAACAATTATCATCACATCTTCTTCATCGTAACTTGAGCAGACAATTCAACATACACTTCTGTCACTCTTGCTGTCTGGCTACCAGATATTGCGTGAAGTTAAAGCAGATAGAACCAGATAAAAGTTGATAAAACCACTGATAATAAATTCTTTGTAAAACCACATCAGCCGTCAAGATGGATGACTCGCAGGTCGACACGAAGCCGGTAAAAGCCGATCGAAGGCGGCAGTTTTCAGAAGGTGGCAAGGGACCATTTGGTTCACAGAAATCTCTTCGACATAACTCCATATCAGGCAGTCGAGGTAGCCAGATGAATATGATGCGCAAACACAGTATAACAGGCTCACACGGCCTCGTACCTACATTAAATCCCCAGTTTAATGTGGAAGATGAAGAGGAGGATGAGGACGAGATTCCACCGACCATCATTTCGGCAGACACACCACAGCTATCTGAAGAAGAGCAGAGAAAGTTAGACAAGGCCGTCTGTCGCAATTACATGAAGAATCTGCTGGTGCTCTGCTTTGGTTTTTTCTGCATCTTCACATCATTTTTATCTTTGAGAAATCTTCAAAGTAGTATTAACAACATCGAAGGGTTGGGTCTTTATACACTCAGCTGCACCTACCTTTTCTTCTTCACTGGTTGCATTTTTGCCACCTCCGTCGTCAGAAAGATTGGACCTAAAAAAGCCATGGTAGTTGCATCTATGGCTCTCTTGATTTATGATGTCGCTCACTTGTACCCCGCATTCTACACGATGGTGCCAGCTGGAGGCCTAGCCGGATTTGCACAAGGTGTCATTTGGACTGCACATGCAACTTATATTGCCAACATTGCTGTCTGCTATGCTAACCTCAGTGGCGAAAAAGTTCCCAACGTTTTGAGCAAATTCAATGGTATTTTCTTCGTTTTCTATCAGTCATGTCAGATTGTAGGTGGCTTCATAGCCTCCTTAATTTTGAAGTCTCCGGCAAACAAGTACACAGGACTATTTGCTTTCAATGGGACATCGTACAATTGTTCTATCATACTCGGTGTCTACAATGAGTCATTCATACCTCCAGACTATCATCCACTTTCCAACAATTGGACGTCAGGCGTTAGTTACTGCAACCAATCTTTGTACAAACCCGTCAAGGAGTGTGGGAGAGATTATTGCCATTTCAAAGCTGTTAGTGTTATTGTTCTCATTCTTGTTTATTGTTCTATCAGCTAATTAAAATCTGTAAGCAATTTTATAATTGCTTTCTAATAATTTGCTTGAGTAGGTCTAGTGAATAAATTATATTTTGCATGTAAGAATTTGAAGATGGTGATGTGCCAGCTAATGTATGCACGCACACACGCACACACAGGTAAAAAGTGAGGAACCAGTTGACCAGAAACTCATCTACATCCTGATTGGAGTCTTCACCGGTCTGACCATCACAGGCATCACGGTCCTGGCCTTCTTGTTGGACCCACTTGAAGGTCAGATGAAAATGAAGAAAGCCCAGGGACCCTTCCACCAACAGTTGCTGGCAGTCTTCAAGTTTTACGGTGACAGAAAGGCTCTCTGCTTGGTCGGCATCATGTTCTACTCACTACTGCAAGCTGCGTTCATCTTCGGCGAATACAACAAGGTTTGACCCTTATCTCTACTCTTTCTTGATGTCTGCATTTACAGCTTGACGTTATTGATACATTGTATGTTTAATTTGTTGTATTTTTTATTGTGTTAAATTGTAAAGTTGTTATATTATATTCGCCCAGGACGTTACAATCATTTAAATGTTTTTGCCCTTGGCTTTTATTTTAGTCAATTTTTATTTATAGAAAATTAAAAAAGTGCAAGCTAAATTTTATGATTGATTGAGCTTGATCTCTGCCCACAGAATTCAAGTTCTACATTTTTAATTAATTTCCAAGTGGCTAATGAATGGAAAATAAACTTGTAAAGCTATAGAAGTGTTTTTAATTTATTGCTTTAATTAACTGCTCATTCATATTTATTAGCTCTACTCTGTATGACCTACTTGACTGCTTGCTCTCATTGACATTTGGTGTTATATTTTATGCCTAAAGGTTGTGATGGGGAAGATGACGACGATGTTGATGATGTTGGTAAAAAATAGGAATAGAACGCTCATAGTGCTAATGATATGCTATGGTGATATGATAAACAATGATGATGGAATGAGTAAGTGACTTAATAAAGATAAAGTGATAATTTTCTGTCTGAAGGTCAAATAGTTTTTTTTATTTTAATGCTAATCATTCTTTTTTTATTTGTTTTTTTTTTCGTTTTGTTTGTTTTTGCTAAACCAACCTTTTAGACAGCAAATGGAATTTTTTATTTTCTGGGAATGTGTTTACACTTCTAGTGGCAACCTTTCAATACATTTTTCTTTCTCTCTCATGAACATTTATTTTTCTTTCTACCTTAAATTATATTTATGGTTTTTTTCCTTCATAAAATGTTTCTAGACGCAAACTTACTTGTAATTATACTCTTACCTTAAATCTTTTTTAATTCATTTTTCATTGCTATTTTGGTTTAATCTATTTCAAGTTTTACCCATTCTTATTTAACTGTTGACTGCACTGTGTAAGTGCTGAAGAATAAGCCTATATGACAAAAGGAATTTTCTTCTTCATGTTTGTCTGTTATGTAGAATTTTAACTTTTGCTCACTATTTTTTCATGTAATACTAGTTTATTTATTTGTTTGTTTGTTACAATTCTCCATAGGCCTCAACAACGACGAACACACGGTGCATGTAAATACACGTGAGAACGCATCACACACCTATAGCATGTTATAGGCGGAGGCAGCCGATATCTGCTATAGAAGTGCCAACCAAGCAACTTACCGACCTGTACACCATCGCCGTGCTATATATATATATATATATATATATATATATATATATATATATATATATATATATATATATATATATATATATTTTCTTCATTTTACAATTTCCTTTGTATATCTTGCGGGCGAATTTTGAGTTGAGTGACAGATCTAGAGTTATCTTGCCGTCATTTATGTTTTTTATGCTCACGCAATAATATTATTAAAGGTAATATTAATGATAATTTATGGTAATGTGGTGAAATAATCATGATATCCAGGCATTCATAACATGTACCATTGGCATTGAGTTCGTTGGCTTTGTCATGATGACCCTATCGTTCTCATCTGCTAATGCTGCATTTTGGAATGGTCGCATACAGAAGTACATTGGAAGATGGCCACTATTGACCACAGGTTTGTTGTTCTGGCGGCGGTTGTTGTGGTAGTGGCTGTTGTCGTTTTTGTGACTGTCGTTGTTGTGATTGGTAGGTGTTGTTGATATTGTTTTTGTTGTAGCCATGCTCGGCTATATTTTTGATGTTGTTTTTCTGTCTCTAGCAGTTTATATGTTTGTGTGTTTTGTTAGGCGAAGTTATTTATTATGATTGTTTGTGATGTTTTTTTTTGTTGTTTTTTAATGTGTTGTTGATGTTGTTTGTAAGAGTTTTAGTAGTAGTAATGTGCTGGTTGATTGATTGTTTGCTTGTTTGAATGTGAACAGTTGGTAATTTGCATTCTATTTAATTCATTCGAATTCATTTGCTCATTTGTTTATTTTAAAAATTTTAATTCATTTTACTTCATTCAGTTCTGTTTTTCGTTTAGTTTCTATTTGTATTTGTTGTTATTTACTTGTTTATCTTTTCATTCTCTCATTCATTCGTTAAATTTATTCTTCTATTCTTTCATGTTATAACTTCAGTGTCACCAAGTTCAGCAATTTTTTGCTTCTGATCAGATCACAGCATTCATTCACTCATTAATTCATTCATTCGTTCATTCATTCATTCAATTATTCATCCGTTCATTGATTGATTGATGATTCATTCATTCATTCATCTTTCTAAACATCCTTGTTGGATTATTACTATTATTATTACTTATTATTATTATTACTATCAATATTATTATTATTATTGTTGTTGTTGTTGTTATAAATCATTATACTAGCGCAATTACTAACATTATGGGTTTTTCAAATCATTAACGTGTTCATTGAATTGTTTATTTGGCTGACTGGCTTGTTTGTTTATGTCATCATCCAATCATATTCATTCATTCACTAACTCATTCGTTCGTTAATTCGTTCATTCATTCATTAATTCATTCGTTCATTCATTCATTCGTGTATTGATTGGTTGATTATTTATAGTGTCTTTATCTGGTGACAATAACTATAAAAATAAGCACGCCTGATACTTACTACTAGTCGGTTTCTTCTCTATGGCTAATATTTATATTTTGAATACGTGGTTGTTGTATGCATGGAGCAATGTGGTTGTAAAGTGTAATATTCATTTATTCATTACATCTACTAATATTGTTGGTGTTTTGCTTGCGGTTTTATTATGGTTTTATATATTTAGGACTGTTTTTTTCAACGTTAGAGAGAGAGTGAGAGGGAGAGAGAGAGAGAGAGAGAGACCCAAAATCCTAGCAGTCTAACATAAAAGAATTTTGGTGCGTGAGTATATGCTGGTGTAATCACACGTGCAAATATTTCTTTTGCAAATGCTTTGTTTTAGTTTGTTTGTTTGTGTGTGTGTGTGTGTGTGTGTGTGGGTGTGTGTGTGTGTGTGTGTGTGTGTGTCTGTCTGTGTGTCTGTCTGTCTGTCTATGCAATTGGTCTTTTAATTTCAAGTAAGTTTTAAATATGTGTGTTTTATTGTTATTGCTAAAATGAGCTTCATTTCATTGTGCATTTGTATCATACTGTTCAGTAATTAATTATTTTATCTTTTGGTGATGGTTGCTGTGATGTTTTTTCTTATATCAATTCTTGTTCGTTCCTTCTTCCAACAGTTTGTTTATCTATTCTTTCGTTCGTTTATTCTTTCATTCATGCATTCATTCATTTATTCATTCATTCATTTATTTATTCATTCATTCATTCAACGGTTGGTTGGTTTTTTTCCATTTCGTCACAGTCTTGTTTACAATGTTTTCGCGCATGATTTATGTACAGAATTGTATTGGATGGACTACTTTTTATACAGCTGACTATTCCTTCCATTCCCTCTTTCAACCGAATACACATAAGTTCTGGTACCTCCATGTGATGTGGTGTAATTTATATACATTCATATATATATATACATAAATTTTACCCATGAAATTATTACCCGTGAAAGAAATTATTTTATTCCTGTTTTATTTCTGAAATAATGCTCATGATTGTTAAATTTTGTGACAATTATTTAACTTTTTTTTTTCTAGAAAATTTGATACATGTATTAAACTGTTGTTAAGTTAAGGGTAACCTATCCACAAGTTTAATTTAACTTATTTTTGGTTGTCTTAATAATCGAATAATACACCTCACACATATTAACACTCATTAAACCTTTATCATTCACAGAACTAGTTTTTATTTATGGGTCACCTCACTAACTCACTAAGTCATCATCTAGTCTATTAATTTGCGTTTGTATGCCATTACTTCATTTTATATTTCATTGCCAATTTCTTTACCTTTATTTATTTAATTATTATTATTTATTTCATTCTATTTTATTTTTATTTATTTATTTACTTATTTGTTTAATTTTGTACTACTGCCTTGCATGCTGTAACAGTTTCTGCGTCTGTCCGATCCTGATTTTTAAAGAAAAATAATAAAAATAATAATAATAACAATATATACTTGCTGCATGCTGTTATTATTACTGCAAAACTTTACTACTAAAATATTGTTACTGTTGCTTGTTTTGATTGCTATTACTTCAACAATTGATGATGTTAACAACATTAAAATCAATGATACTACTGCCACAGTTTTTTTTATATTGTTCGCACACACACACACACACACACACACACACACACACACACACACACACACACACACACACAAACGTACATACAAAAAACATTGGTTTATCTATTTATGCTACATATAAAAGTACAGAGAATACAAAACAGAGATAGAAAGAGAGAGAAACTGCCTTGCTGTCATGTGCTACACTGATGCTGTGTTGTGTATTTGTGTCTGTGTGTATTTGCGTCTGTCTTTCTGTGTGTATATTTCTGTATGTGTAACTGTGTATGCCTGTGAGTTTGTGTGGATATATATTTCTGTATATCTATATGTGTTTGTAGGTAAAGGCATTTTTATACGGCTTTGTGTGCATGTATATTTATATGCATGTATGTATGTATGTACAATAATTTGCATATGTTTGTGTATGCTTATGTGTGTATTACTGTTTGTATTAATGCGTACAGTGTTTATACAGGAATGTTTATGCAAATAGCTCGTTTGTAGGCCTGACTTTTATGTGTGAAGGTATTTTTATCTAATACCAATTTGTGTCTATGTCCGTAGGTATTACATACCTTTTGAATGTTTCATTGAAATCGTAAATGAATGAATGATTGAGTGAATGAACGAACGAATGGATGATGAATGAGTGAGTGAATGAACGAACGAATGAATGAATGCACTAGAGTATTTGTAAATATTTTCTGGTATTTTTTTACAAGTATATACATAGTAAGTAGATCTTCTTATTTCGATTATTGCAATTGCAAGTTTAAGCAGTTTAATCCTACGAAGCTTGCACACAGTTAAAAAAATCAGCAAAGTCACTGAGTTAATTTTTCCGTATTGTACTATTTTTATTATCATGATTATTATTATTATTATTATTATTATTATTATTATTATTATTATTATTATTATTATTGATGCTTTTTTTTTGGCGTTATTGATGCACGGTTCAATCAACGAGAAGGATTTGTATGTTGAAGAAAAAAGGTTTTTGCCCTTGTTTTTCTTGGATTTTCGGTCGAAATATTAGACGTCTGCCTATCTTCTTCTACTTCTACTGCTACTGTTGCTTGCTGCTGCTGTTTCTACTACTATCGCTGCTGCTGCTACTACTACTATTGCTGCTACTTCTTCTTTTACTACTACTACTACTGCTGCTGCTGCTGCTGCTACTACTACTTCTACTATTACTACTACTACTACTACTAATAATAATAATAATAATATTAATAATAATAATATAATAATGATAATAATAATAATTATAGTATAAATAAAAATAAATTTGATCCTTATGATATTTTGAAGTAGCATTGCGGCTACCTTTAATGTTCCATTTTTATGTTATTGGTTGCTTTTTATTATTGTTATTATTTCTGTTATTATTATTATTTATGATTTTCGTTGTTATTTTAACCGTTACTGTTATTTTTTTTGTTGTTGCTATTGAAAACTTAATTTTATTCTACATCGGTTCTTAGTTAGGTTTCGGTTTTAAATTGTATAATCACCTTTAAGTAGTAAAATAATGATATATTCTTTCACACACACATATACACACACACGCACACACACACATCTACACATGCATGTACGTTCACACAGTGCCCGCACATACCTTTTTATTACCGTACATACACCATACTTACACTGACACGCACCCATTCAGCAGTGCTTATAACAATACGGAAAGGTTACACCCACACACACACACACACACACACACACACACACACACACATGTATAGATCATATTGTCAGTACATAAATTCACGCAAGTATAGTGCGTACATATACATACATCTGTACAGTACAGTATTCATATGTACCATTATATTATACAGTATCTACTACTACATACCTTCTGAACTGCTATTAGGGTATATATTGACTCTTTAAACTAGCTCGGGTCTGGGTTCATACATTACCATTGTACTGACTACAGCAGTATGTGTTATCAACATTTGGACAAGTAAAAAAACGTTTTTTTATATTTATTTTAGTAAAAAAAAATCAAGAAATATTATCATAATTTTAGAGTAAGGTTAGCTGAATGTCATGTAGAAGTATGCATTCTTACATTTCATTGGTTGCATCCTGTTTCCCGTTTATGTAAGCTGCATTTTTACTGGCTGAATCTGCTGTTGCATACGGTATACACACATTTAAACATTGCTTATATATGCAGATACAATCACACTCACACACACACACCACACACACACACACACACACACACATGTGTTGGTGTGTATGTTTATTTTTTTAAAGCTTTGATTACTGCTTTCATTCCGGTTGAATGTAAGCGATGATGGGAAAACATTTTTGCCTGTTGTTCATTATGATGAAGACGACGATGAAGCAAATTATGATGTTGATGGTGATGATGAGGATCTAGTTGCTGTTAGTTGTGGG